TACCAATGCCGGTTGTGCAGCCAAAAGAGGCTAACACTTGAGCATAAATATATATACTGACTTAGTAGATAAATCTGGATACTACTGCCATGTGTAACATAATATTCAACCCGAGGATAGGCGACTCTCCAGTCGCATTCCTGGATGAGCCAACAAGTGGCATGGATCCTTCATCCCGACGAGAACTGTGGACATTACTTCTGCAAATCCGCGATGGTGGCCCGGAACTCAGCCGCGGCCCGGTGTTTTCTTTTTTGATCTCTTGGGTCCCCCTTGCTAAGGCCGTTGCATCATATTCACGACACACTACTTGGAAGAAGCTGACATCCTTGCGAACCGGAAGGCAGTTCTAGCTCGTGGACGTGTACAAGCTGTTGGAACTTCCAGAGAACTGAAGCAGAGGCCGATGACTGGAAAAGAGTTGAACTGAGAAGCCAACCTGACCTGAAGGGACATTTAGACCTTGTGTTCAGACTGTTGCCAACGCAATAAATGACTTGATGTGTTGAAAGTGATTCAACCAAAACAGTACTGTACCTTTGCGCAGCCAAAGACAATACCTGGATGAATCATGACCCCTTCACCAACCGCAGCTTTTCGCTGGAGGTTTGGTATCGGCTACCGGCTTTGCTTGGATATTCGTCCAGGCGCTTCACGAAAGGAGCTGGAGTCCTTCATTCAGGACCACAAGTGCAGACAATTGGCATCTAACAGTAAGACTTACCAGTCAGACCATGTGGCTAATTGTAGTTAGAAGTTGTCTTCTGGTGGATGTATATGGATGTTGGCGTTGGATTTTTGTTCCTCGTCCGGAGTTTTGCCGACGAGGACTTTGTCAAGTCTGCTGCACTTGAAAGTGAGGAGGAGACTTTGTCAAGAATGCTCACCCTTGAAGTCCTTGAAGTCGCTGGTTTGTTCCCCCACCTCAATTGACCTTGTCAAAGTCCTTCGACATGAAACGGGTAATTGATTGGGCTTCTGTGTAAACACATGTAAAATGTAAACAATAAACAAAGGCAAACTTGCAAACCTTTAAAATCTGGCGCTTTGTTCCGTTGGCCTTTTTTTCTCCTATAGCCACCTTTAGCATCACACATCCCAACATTGCCTGTAGGATCCTTCACAGGCCAGCATCACCATGAATTTTGACGATGTGGGGTGCTTCAGCAGCTTGTTGCTTGCTCTAGATGAAGCTCAAGATCGACTCGGGGTCATGGACTATTCCTTGGGCATGTCGTCACTTGAGGATGTTTTCATGGCTCTTGGCTCACCAGAAAACAAAGATGAGAATCAAACGAAGTCTGGTGAAGGTGCTGAACAAATTGAAACTCTTCCAGCAGATCAGAGCTTGACAAGAGCTCGAGAGGTCTCTGGGTGGCGTAGCGCAAAGGCCGTGTTTGCTTTGCGCCTGAAGCCATTTCAGTCCAGCAGGCAGCGGTTGCTGACGATTCTGCTGGTTCCACTTCTGATGCAACTTGGTGGGACTTACCTGGCGGGACTGGGTGCCCAAGAGGACAATTCTGGTGCAAATGGCTATGCCGTTTGCATCTACCCGACTATGGCCTTTGGGATTGCCTTGCTGTCATCGAGCCAGGACATCATGACCGATATCAAGAACAAGTGCAAGTATGTGTCCATGTCGCAAGGGCTCACAGCAAGAGCATATTGGCAGGGGAACTTCATGGCTCACCTCGTGCTTCTCCTTCCTACAGCTGTGGAATTTGTGATTGTTTTCTTGATTTTCCGTCCTCCATCGATCCCGACTGAAGCCATCCCACTTGTCGTCCTAACGATTCTATTGTACCCTGTCCCTTTGATATGCTGCGTGTACAACTTTGCAGCAGCATTGGCTGGTTCAGAGTCCATCTCCAAAGTCGTTCCAACGCTTCTCATGACCACGCAGTTGCTGCCAGGGCTTCTTATGTGGGTTCTGACGGCTCCATTTATTCAAAGCAGCACGATACGAGACGCGGCGGTTGCCACTCACATTGTCCTTGCTGTGGTCAACCCCAACTATGCACTGCCTGGTATGATGGCATACCTTGTGAATATTGACGGTCCCAAGCGGCTCCCAGTTGGGGAGTACTTCCTATCTCTCTCAGCAATTCCACTCTACACAATTGTGCTAACATCTGGCGTGTGCATCTTAAATCTAGTCCGGCTTGATGCTCGGCTTGGAAGGGACGGACTCGAGAAGTCTTCTTGGCTAGCTTGACTCGAGGATCTTGAGGGCAACAAGGTTACAAGGTTGGACAGGTCAAAAGGCATTGCTAGCTACTGAGGACACAAAGAGCTACACAAACAAACCGCCAGCGCCAACGGAGTCGGCCAGCTCAATCCAAGATGAGGACAGTTAGACAGCTTTTTTGCCATTTGTTGTGCTATGTTGTGCTTGTTTTTGTGGCTTCAAGCACGGGCCACGCTGTTCGAGGGTCGGGTCTCATCAGCAAGCATCGGACAGCCATCATGAGAACGCAGGATGTGTTGGAGGAAGAAGCCAGATGCAAAAAGGATGATGCTGCGAACGATGCTGCAAGGTACCAAGAATTGAGCCACACTTACCGCTTGGCAAATACGGGGTCCAGGCCTAGCGCAGCCTGGATGCAACGTAACGAAAGGAATGGTTCGAACATGTTCAGACAATTTAGCAGCTAACTAGGGAGATTCACGATTGTCCTGTTGAAGTTGCCCAGGCATGTGCCTATGCAACGAGGGAGTTCAAGCACCTGAGCCTGCACACCACACGCCACGCCGGTGTAGCTGCATAAATATACAACAAATATATAATAACTGTATTAGTATAATCTAATACATACATTGAATTATATACAGTATATCTATATATTGTAAAGTTTCAACCTTGAAGCATGATTGTTCTGTTCTGCACATGACGTCGTGACCGGACGGGACGTCATGAAGGACACCTCGGACAACCTCAGGTGTTCGACTCCCGACTAACCTTTAGGCCTTGAGCCTCTCGAGGTGGGCAGAAAACAATCTGTCCGCCAAGGGTTCTTGCGCGTTGACATTGGTAGCGGAGCCTCTTTTGGCTCGTCGGTGGTGTGCCATTGAGTTCTTTGCTGGACGATCTGAGCCCACTGAGGGAGCCTAGTTGTTTGGAAGACACGTGATTGCCGTACAGCGCTTTCATTTTGTCGAGGCTGGCCAGGGTGATATTGGGACACTTTTATACCGGAATTGTTGATTCACGAGTGTTGGTGGACTGTATCCTGTGGTGGTTGCCGTTGGAATTCATTGCGCAATTTTGATTTGGAGCCCACAGTTTCACAATGCACGGATTTATTTGAGTTTTGAGGATGTTGAGCTCTTCAGGACAGTCGCTTTTTGTTGACCCCAAGTCCAATGTGGCCCACTATGATGGAAGCCCGAAGCTGGCTGAAGAATATGAGGAGAGAGTCTGGCTGGGATTTCAACCGGTCCCAAAAGATGACAAGGTCAGCTATGCCGCCAAGTTGAAGAACGCTCTATTTGGAAGAGCTTGGGCCCTCTGTCATCGCAAGCCAGAAGCTCCTCCAGCTCAGCGAGGCCGAGGCGAGCGCCAATGCAGGTCCCAAGGCAGCTGTTCAGTTGGTGGTGAAGACGGTCAGAGCTGCATGTGAGAAGGTCGCTCCATTGTTGAAGACTCAGACCTTTGAAGGTTATTTCTTCGACAAGGGACGCCGCCGCTTGGGAGAGAGCATCCAGGACTACATCAGCAGAAGAGAGAGAAGCTGACAGGACTTACACAGGGTCATACAAAGCTCTCCTTGGACCTCCAGGCCTTTTTCCTTTTGAGGAACGCAGGTGTGAACCCAAGCCAGCACAGAGCCATTTTGGGTCAGGCTGTAAATGAATATGATTGGGACAAGATCGTGGAGGCCATGCTCATTCAGCTTGATGGTGGAGATGAGTTGACTGGCAAGGGATGGAAAGGAGGCTACAAGTCCCGCTCGCAGAACAACTTTGGCCCGGGAGGAAAACGAAGTTCTTGGGCCTTCCCCATCGAAGAAGAGTGGTCAAGTTATGATGGAGAGACTGAAGAAGCCTATGCCATTGATGAATGGTGCGCAGAAGAGCCAACAGATGATGACATTGAAGAGATGGAGCATGCTGTTGAGATCATGACAGTTGAGGATTTGACCAATGAAGACTTGGATGTCTTTGCGGCTACAATCCAAAAGATGGGCAAAGGTGCTTCCGAGTATGCCAGAAAGAGGCAGGCAGTGAGAGATGGGAAGACCAATCGTGGTTTTCAGCCGCAATCCAATGCCATCGGTCACAGCAAAACAGCAATAGCATTGGATGGGAAGTTGACACTCAATGCTGGACAGCTCCAAGACAAGATCCAACAGGTGAAGGCTCGCACACAATGCTACGATTGTGGTCAGAAGGGTCATTGGCGTGGCGACCGAAGTTGCTTTAAGAGCCCCGGGTCACCCAGCTCCAAAGGTGGCAAGAAAGGCCATGGAAAGAAGGGTGGCAGGAAAGGAGGTTTCTTGCAGCGAGCAGGCATGGCAGCAGCAATGTTGGCATCAGCATCGGGTCAGTTGCTTCAGCCGTGCCACGAAGCATTGTCATGTGTTGGTGTGAATGAGTTGGATGATTGTTTCGACCCGGCATTTCACATCGAAGAGGATCATGAGATGTTTCCAAACCTGGGGGACTATGATGAGATGTTGAATGAAGTGGAAGCCTACATGACCCAGGACCTTGAGACAGAAGCAATTCCACACAGTTTGACATTCATGAACAACACTAGCAGTGGAGCAGTTCCGGCAGGCAGACGTGTGGTGGACACTGCAGCTTTGGTCGGTTGCGGAGGTGATCGCACTCTGGACAAGTTCGTTGAGCGGTTCGGAAGTGAGACGAAGCTGCAAGAATCCAACAAGGTGTTGAAAGGAGTGAATGCAGATGCCCCAGTGATGGTTCATCATCAGCAATGGATTGACATCAACATTGCAGGTCAGAAGGGCAGAGTGGCATTGCATCGTCTTCCCAATTCAGATGTTCCGTTGCTCTACCGCAGCTCAGGGAATTGGGAGCGGTGATTGACCTTACAGCAACACCCAAGCCTACCATCCAGTTCACAAACATTGGTTCAGAGAAGGTGGAGATGGACTATGGAACTGGTGGACATTTGTTGCTGAACATTGGATACGGTTCACGAAACAAGAAGTCTACAAGGCTGGCCGGAGAAACGGTGGAGGTGTTTCATCAATTGAAAGCCAAGGACTTCAATGTGGAGGCCATCCGGATTACGAAAGGAAAGCTGAGGAGAAAAGTTCAAAAGATGGCAGAAGAAGCAAAAGAGCACGGCAGAGCACTATGGAAAGAACTTCGAAAGGGGAATCGTTCCCATGCGAAAAGGGTGATCGTGAAGGAGCTCTACAGTGGAGAAAATGGTGGTGTCGCGACAGCCCTAGCAAAGGACAATGCGATGCCAGTGGGACGACCACGTGATCTTTTGCTGGGAGACAATTTCCTGAAGAAGGATGATCGTGATTGGATTTTGGCGGAGATCAAAGTTGAGAAGCCGAGTCTTGTCACGATGGGTTTCAATTGTGATCCATGGACACCCCTCAGCAATTTTCTGGATGAAGACACTCGAAGGGTACAGCAGGAGATTGCCCTTGATCATCTGGATTTTGTCAGACAAGTTTGCGAACTTCAGGTTTCTGAAGGAAGACACTATTTGTTGGAGAATCCATTGGCGAGTCAAGCATGGAAGATTTTGTTGGAGAAGATTGAACATGTGCCACATTACACATCCCGCATGGACCAATGTATGAGTGATCTGAAAGACATCAATGGAGATTTTGTTTTGAAGCCTACGCGTTTTGTCACTTCATCTCCGGTGTTGGCTTCAATGTTGACGCTGAGATGCACAGGTGATCACGAACATGCGCAAGTCCAAGGTCGTGGTGTGAAAGATGGCAAGAACATTTCCTCCATGCTGGGACAATGGACACCCCAACTTGGTGTCATGATTCTCGAAGGCATTCAGCGACAAGTTCTTTTGGAGGAGAAATGTGGAGAAGTCAAGTATTATCTTGAAGAAGAAGATGTTCACCACAACGCACTTCAGAGAAGCTCGGACGTCATGAGTTGGGAAGAAGTTCCTGTGCTGCTCAGAAGTGCTATCACCAAGGTGCATCGACAGTACTCCCACTCCCTCTACAAGGGGAACTTCAGCCGACATTTGAAGCTGTCAGGTGCATCAGATCAAGAAATCAAAGCAGCATCCTTGTTCACTTGTCCGACATGTGAGAAGGAGAGAAGAAGTCCAGCGCGACCGATGGCCGCAGTTCCAAAGTATGATCATTTCAATCAAGTGTGGCCATGGACATAGCACACATCCCTGATCAAGATGATGTGATGCACTCCTTCCTGCTCATGGTGGACATGGCAACATCATACACTCTTGCTTCGTATTTGCGCTCAGGTGAGACTCCAGGTCGACCAAAGAAGCCACAATCCTCTCAATGCCGCAAGTCTCTTGTTGACTGGATGGAAGTTTTTGGAAGTCCTGATCGAGTCCAAGTCGATCAAGATGGGTCGCTGAGAGGTTATTTCCGCGATTTGCTGGATCGTTTTGGCATCGAGAAGATCTTAGTGGCAAGAGATGCACATTGGAGTCATGGTGTTGTGGAACGGAAGAGTGCTGTGGAACGGAAGATTCTCACTGTGAAGGAGATGATGAAGGTGGCTCCCGACAGTGAAATCAAAGGTGCCATATTGACAAGAGTTGCTGTGGTGAATTGTGTGCAGGCCATCAACAGGCTGTCCAATCATCGTGGATTTTCGCCAGCTCAATGTGTTTTGGGTTTTCAGCCAAATTTACCTGAGATTATGGGTGACAGCAGAGGAATTCCCAAGACAGATCACGATGATCATCTTGCCATGGCACAGCGGATGAAATTACTTCAAGACTGTGAACATGCTTTTGTGAAAGCCAATCATTCCGCATCTCTTCGTCGTGCCCTACTTTCTCAAACCCGACAGCAACCAGGTCCATTTGACATGCACTCGCTGGTGATGTACAAAAGAAAAGGATTGAAGCATAAGGCTTACAAGCAGTGGCATGGACCAGCACGGGTGATTGGGAAAGATTTGCATGGATACTGGATTGATTATCCACAGAGGCACTCCTATTTTGGCACATCCACACAACATGAGAAGGGCTATTGCAGAAGAACAAGAGTTGATGCTAGAGGA